GATCGAGGCTCGCCCCCAGTGGCACAGCGGTATGTCTGGCGGACTTACAACGCTAGAATCGTGGGTTTCGACTCCCCGGTGGGTAGGCAGAGCACAGATACGCCCATTGTGTATCTTTGTGCTTAATTACAAACAAATGGAAATAATTCTGCTCCATGTGATGTGACAGAAAGCAGTCCTTTATACATAATGTAAAATAGATACAACTATTTCGTTAGATACTTGATAATTTTCGTGAACGGGTTTAATTTAGCACATGAACTCGACTGGAATTTGGGTGTTCCATATTAGAAGTTTATAAAAAATATGTAGATATGAAATGTATATAGTATGGGAGAGTTGGATGTGTGGTATTTATATACTACAGCCTTATCTTAGGCTTGTCCTCAATCTGTCTTTAATTCAATAACAATTTGAAATTTACTATGTGATCTAGTGAAATCGCACGAAAACGGCAACTCTCGGTTATATTGGACGCAATAATTTTACATAGCGGTACGGCACTAGACAGAACACACACAGAAAAGACTTATAGACATGATGAATATTCTCATCCAAAACATACATACACTGCGGAAAACAGAAGAAAAATCACTCAAAGAAATGTTCTCTGAATACAAAAGACATATTTTCATTGAGCTACAATTTAAAATATAAAATAAGCTTAAATAAACAAAATCACAAAATACTAGAATTTACACTCGATACATTCGATGTAAAAGCTTCTTTAGTGAACTGTCAAAATATATTAAAATGAAAAAATACATAAACATTTATATAAAGCAAGTTCTTAAGTAAATGGATATAGATATACACACGAATGAAATTCATAATAAAAATAAAATGAACACAAATCGGGAAAGGAGCACGAAAAGGTGGGAAACACACGATGGAAGGAAATAATAAAACAAGCGGAAACACCGAACTGTCCAGCATGCATAAAAATAACAAAGTAAAGTAAAATGGCCTTAACGTAAGATAATGGGTAAAATAAACCCAAATCAATATTTTAAAGTAAATAAAGTGATCAAAAAAGAAAAAATAACAACAATATATTACACTATTAAATTAAAGTTGAACAACAAAAATTCAAATTCTAACAAACAGAAGATTTCTACGCAAAATTATGCAATAAATAGAGAATTTTAGAATAAATTCAGACAATAGTATAAAACATTTTTCAAAAATACAGCAAAACTAATCCCTCTTCATTCAGTTATTACATAAACAGCTCGCGCAACACAAACAAAAAACAATGACAAGTTATCAAACAAAATTTTAAATGAAACAGAACTTTTTAAAACGTATAATTAACACAGAGAATTACACAATACAGTAATTTCAAATAATAAAAATAATTAATGAATTAGCATACTTGCGCTATGTTATACGTTAGAAAACATTTTAAAATACAAAAAACCTAATGAAAACTAAACATACATAAAAAATCAAAAACCAATACATCTATCAATGTTAAACAGGTAAAACTTTCAAGATAAATACAAAGACTAGATATAGAAATATTTATATATGTATATATATATATATATATTTACATGTAGTAGCTCCAGTGGGTTCACCTGAGAGGGGTTAGCAGGTTGTCCGGGGTTACAGTCAATTTCTTCCTCTACAAAATCTATTTTATGATTTTGGTGGCATGGGAAAGTTCAATTCGCTCTATGCCCATCAAGTTCTTCTGCTGCCCTGAATTGTCTCATTCTCTCTTCTCACATTCATCTCCTTCCCAGTGTGGGAATTATATCACCTATTTATCACTGCCTGGTTCCCGAGTGTTAAACTCACCGAAAATGATAGTTGGGGGCTATACTGAAATCTCCTGCCTCCCTACTCACCTGGCCATGGATAATGAAATAACCACTTTTATAAATCGGTGTAGATAATGCAGTTACAGTTACAGCCAGGGTTCAAAATGGTATTTGTTTTCCTCTGGTATCAATTTGGTTTTATTTGTTGAAGTGGAATCTTTGTTGGAGTTATGGGTAAGTTATTTGTGGCTCCTGCATGGCAATTCAGCATACTGACTTGTTCCCATTGGAGATGACCTAATGCTTAATTCTTATATCAGTGTCTCTGTTGGCACTCGTTTGATGGACAAGTGACATACCATCAGATTTTCAGTGGCCGAGAGGTCTTCATGAACGTCTTTTCCAGCTGTTGCTGGCTTGATACTGCTCCAAGTAATGTCGAAGTTAACTCCAGTGATCATAAAGAGGCACCTGTATCATTGGAGGACAAAGACAGCAAATTACTTATT